ACAGCTTCCTCCCCAATCTAGAGAACGAACAGTAACGGAACACGACCACATATGAGGAACAACATGCAGTAATAACACTGTCACAACACATCTTCCACGTACGAAGTAACATATGCAACGAAACGCCCACAGACCCACATAACCACACTCCCATATGTGAAGGAAGACACACTCATATGGCAGCCACGACGCAACCGCATACAATCATAAAACAGGCAGATAATAGTCCCTACATGTGTGAACAGATCATAGCAACATAGCGACATTCATGGCACAACACTTCCGAATCTTCAACAACATGAATACAGTATAACGTGTCCGTAAGAAAACACGAATGAAACGCAATATATCAACTCCATAACACAACATGCAACACACATCCAAACGCCAACATAACACAACATAAATAAAGCAACACAACATCTTCCTCCACAACATTAAGACCAACAACAACAACAAACACAAACACACACAAACAACACACAGACAACACACACACAAACACACACAAACACACACACAAACAACACACACAAACACACACACACATACACACACAAATAACACACACACATACACACTTAAACAACACACGCACACACACACACACACACCTAAACAGCACACAGACAAAACCCACCACCTCAACACCCTTCCCCCCCCCCCCCCCCCCCCCCCCCCCCCCCCCCCCTCCCCCCGACACGTACGCGATCATCTCCGAGGGCGACCTCCACGGAACGTCATCCAGCTCGTCCTCGCTCTCCCCCGAGGCCTCGTCGCTGCCTCGCTCTTGGCCGGCGATGTTCAAGGTCGACCCCGTGAACATGTCCGGCACCGGCAGGATGGACGGCCGCCGCGTCTCTGCGGGGAAGGGAGGAAGCGGAGTCAGGCGGATGGGCGCGTGACCCTAGTATGCACGAGTCTCTGTGGGGGGGAAAGGAGGGAGGGAGGGAGGGAAGGGAGGGAAAGGTGGGAGAGAGAGAGAGGGAGGGAGGGAGGGAGGAAAGGGTGTCAGGCGGCTGGGCGCTTGACTTTAGTATGCACGAGTCTCTGGGAAGTGAAGGGAAATGTGGGTGGGAGGGAGGAAAGAGAGGGAAAGGTGGGAGGGAGGGAAGGATACGATGGTTGGTAGAAGGGAGGAAAAGAGGAAATTGAAGGGGGATGTAAAAGACTGGTGGGTAGGAAGGAAGAAGGAGGGAAAAAGGGAAGGGAAGAAGAAGGAGGGAAGAAAGAAGGAAGGAAGAGGGAAGAAGGAGGGAAAAAGGGAAGGGAAGAAGAAGGAGGGAAGAAAGAAGGAAGGAAGAGGGAAGAAGGAGGGAAAAAGGGAAGGGAAGAAGAAGGAGGGAAGAAAGAAGGAAGGAAGAGTGAAGAAGGAGGGAGATTAAGGAAGGAATAGGAAAGGAGGGAGAAAGAAGTGAGGAAGGAGCAGGGGAGGAGGAGGAAAGGAGAGAAGCAGGAGAGGAGACAGGAAATTACGAGACGGGACAAAAGAAGAGGGAAGAAAGGAGAGAGAAAGGGAGAAGGTGAGAAAGCAAGATGGTGTTAGTCATTAGCTTCTCTTGACTAATATCAATATGAGAAAATCACATTCTAAAACGCTTTCTTTTTCCAGCTTCATATGTGAAGCATTTAATTTCATAAAAGAGAAATGACATTCTCATTATATTCTAATTTCAGTTAAAAGTCTATATAAAAACGTTCCATGCATTTCAATAAGAAGAAAGAATCATATAATTTGCATATAATATAATCAGTTTTTTTCTTTCTTTCTTACCTCCAGCAACTTTCAAAGTATTCATTGACCAGAAAAATCACATGTATATGCAATAATTACATAAGTATTAATGCATCCTACATTTACATTTTTCTATATATCTAACTACCCCATATAGATAGAAAGAGAGATAAATGAATAGAGAGAGAGATATAGATAGATTTAGGTTTCATCATAGAATCTGCATGGCTAGAATGATAGAAAAATGTCTACGATCAACTTCTGTTCTCGGGCCTGGAAGGGAAGCCATGATGGTCGAACACACCTTCGCCCTAATATCCATAGTGTATAAGTTCTCTAATATTCTCTCTTATACTCTTGCATTAAACAAAGAAATATTGAAGAAAGAGAAAAAAAAAGGAAAAGAAAAAAGGAAAATGGAAAACAAAAAAGAAAGAAAAAAACTGAAAAAGAAAAGAAAAGAAAAGAAAAGAAAAAGGAGATAGAAAAAAAAAATATATATACATATACATATATGTATATATATATATATATATATATATATATATATATATATATATATATATATATATATATATATATATATATATATATATATATATTTATATATATGAAAATAAAACTTCAACCGAAGCCAACGCCTCGCGTGACGCCAACATAAGTGGGTGAGGAAGGTTGCTACTGCTGTCGGGTCCCGGATGTAGTTGATAATGCATACTTTGAATAATTTAGTGCTTTAGTATTCCGGTGATATTTGATGTATTTCGTGAGGGTATGGTTGCATTATTAAAAAGTGAATTAATGAATAATGAACAGTTATAGTTGAACAGTATGTACACTCATGTAGTAGGTTACTCTGTCTCTTTATATATGTGTTTTTTTTTTCAAATCATAACCCAATTCATTCTCTCTCTCTCTCTCTCTCTTTTCTCTCTCTCTCTCTCTCTCTCTCTCTCTCTCTCTCTCTCTCTCTCTCTCTCTCTCTCTCTATCTCCATCTCTACCCCCTCCCCTCATTTTTCTCTTTCTCTCTTCCGCCTCTCGTTTATCTCTCGTTCTCTCTCTTCCGCCTCTCGTTTATCTCTCGTACTCTCTCTTCCGCCTCTTGTTTATCTCTCGCTCTCTCTCTTTACCACTATACACTGCAACTCACCTCTCTTATTCTCTCCCTCTTCGTCAAAATACTAATTTCATCTTTTCTGAACAAATAAACAAGTCATATTTCTAAAAGTTCACAACGTGGGCATACTGTCTCACCTCATTGGCATTTTCAGTTAACAAACTTTGAAAATGCTAATGAGCCTCATGTTTACGCTAATGTGCGCCAGGTTACTGTTATTTTGTACTGCGATTCTGTCCAGTGTTTTTGAGTTATGATCTATCGGGAAATGTTTGAAAGTTTACTGTATAATTTTGCGATTTTTATTTTTTTTTCGGTTTTTAAAGTCCAGTCTAGCGTTTTTTTGTGGAAATATAAATGAAAACAATGATTTCGTCTCAACCACACACACACACACACATAACCATACACAAAATCGAAGTAAAAAACGACTCATGTTCCGGTGTGGACTTGGCATGAATTTTTTAGCGAGGAGACCGCGGAGGTGCGCTTGCAAACACCATAAGGACAGGAAGTTAAACGTATACGATCATAGATGCATGCACACACACACACACACACATGTACACGCACACGCACACACACATACACACACATACGTACAGGCTTTCACTCTATTATTCATTCGTTGTAATTGCAATTTCATGTATCTCTTTGCTTATCTATTTACTCACTTTGTTGTTGTTAATATCATTATTATTGCTATTGTCGGTTTGGTGTCTTTGTTATTGTTTTTGCTGTCATCTATCATTATTTTTCATTATCTGTCTATACATCCATTTTCTTTCAATTTTAATGCTATTATCTTTAGTTATAATTTCCGAGATTCAGAAATAAAAGCGGTTATTTCCATGTTATTTCTAATGAGAGGAATCTTCAAGAAAGTACATCGGGAGCTTAATGGGCGGCGCAAAGGAGGCTACTCTCATATTACCACAAAACTGCTAAACTGGATTTTAAAAACCGATAGACTGGACTTTGAAAAACGCAGGGATGGACATTAAGAACCGCTAGATTGGATTTTCAAAAGCGATAGACTGGGTTATGAAATCCGCTAGACTTGACTTTAAAAATCGCTAGATTGGACTTTAAAACCTCTAGATTGGACTTTAAGAACCGCTAGATTGGACTTTAAAAACCGCTAGACTGGACTTTAAAAACTGCTAGACTGTTCTTTGAAAACCACTAGACTGGATTTTAAGAACCGCTAGATTGGACTTTAAAAACCGCTAGACTGGACTTTAAAAACTGCTAGACTGTTCTTTGAAAACCACTAGACTGGATTTTAAGAACCGCTAGATTGGACTCTAAAAACCGCTAGCCTGGACTTTATAAACTGCTAGACTGTTCTTTGAAAATCGCTAGACAGGACATTGAAAATCGCTAAATCGTTAGAATGGCAACACTGCAATTATCTATTAACAGTGACGTGTCCAAACTTTTCCCTCCCTGATCTGCGTGAAAAGTCACCTTTCTTTTCCCGATTCAGACTGAAAGGTCACTCTTGAAATGAAAGCTCCCCCTCCCCCCCTCTCACCTGCTCCTTTCTTGCGACGCAAATCTGGATCAGTCCTACGCGGGGAGAGCTTTGACATCGGGAAAGTTTATGTATTTCGGGCTTTCGATCCGTCCTCTTTAGTTTACCCTTCAATTGATCTCTGCTAGTCTATGGGAATAATTGAAGAGGCTTTGCTCTTCCCTTTGAGTTATTCATGGTCTAAAAAGATCAGTCCGTTATTGCTTCGGTAGACAAACACACACACACACACACACACACACACACACACACACACACACACACACACACATACACACACACACACACACACACACACACACATACACATACACACACACACACACACACACACACACACACACACATACATACACACACACACACACACACACACACACATATACACACACACACATACACACACACACACACACACACACACATACATACACACACACACACACACACACACACACACACACACACACACACACATACACACACACACACACACACACACATACACACACATACACACACACACACACACACACACACACACACACACACACACATACACACACACACACACACACACACACATATACACACACACACATATACACA